GGGCTCCTCCCGAAACGGGGCACGAACCCGCGTCTCCTGCATCGGCAGGCGGACTCTCAAGCACTGCGCCACCAGGGAAGCCCAAAGCCCACAATTTCTAACGAGCTCTTCTGGAAAAAGTTCGCCACCCCCAACTTAGCAGGAAAATAAAACCTGTGCACAAATCACTATGATGCTCAGCAGAAAGCGATATTCCGTAAGAGGTACTGAAGGTTGGGTCTCATTTCAACCCATGTGTACTGAGTGTGCACTGTGGGAAGCCCCACTGGACCCTGGAGGGGCTGAGGGTGCCCTCAGGGGGTGGGGGGCTGCAAAGATAGAATTAGACACAGGGTGTCCTCAAGGAGTTGACAATATCACTGGGAAAAGACATAGAAAAGCACATCAGGAGACAGAAGGACGAGATTGTGCAGAGAAGCTTCATTTCGAAGCAGGGAAGCCTGCATGGAGGACGTGGCATCTGAACTGGGTCTCAAATCCTATGTAAAACCAGACAATCACATATGCCAAGTAATGCCTGAGTGGAGGTGACAGGGGCTGGCGGTGGGGGGGTGGACTTGTTTGGGACACCAGTCAACCCTCAGGTTGTCAGCTCTTTCCATGTTACCAGCTCCCTCTCCAAGACACTCAATGCAGGAAAAAATGCAAGTATTCTGCCTCTGTCTAACCACACAAGCATTTTGCCATAATACCTGATGCCTATATATGGATTTGTGCCTTAAGACCTTAAACTATGAAGCCAGTTAGTAACAATGAGAAATAAGCTAAAATAAGTGCATTTCTTCCTCACTCCCCCTAATTTTTAAAAATTAATTAAAGACAGAACATTTTTGGGGCTTCCCTGGTGGCACAGTGGTTGAGAGTCCACCTGCTGATGCTGGGAACACGGGTTCGTGCCCCGGTCTGGGAGGATCCCACATGCTGTGGAGCGGCTGGGCCCGTGGGCCATGGCCGCTAAGCCTGCGCGTCTGGAGCCTGTGCTCCTCAACGGGAGGGGCCACGGCAGTGGGAGGCCCGCGTACCACAAAAAACAAACAAAAAAGATAAGTTAGTTTGGGGAACTAAAAAAAAAAAAAAAAAAAAAAAAAAAAAGACAACATTTTAAAAAACATTCAGGACTATAAAATCTGAGGGATAAGGTAGAAAATGGAATGACCCGGGGAGGAAAAATGTCTTCTCTGGTTGATATGCAGTTTTTTATAAAACAGATCAAACACAGCACTGATGTGGCCAGGCTCACCCTGACAGGACGCGGCCACTTCAGATGAAAAAGTTCCCGTGAGCCCTCTAGAAGCTTCGGTGGGCTTCCAACAGAGCAGGACCCTCTCCTGGCTCCCTGGGTGGCAGCAGATGAAAAGAGCTGAATGAGGGACCAGAGGCAGGGGCCCTAAATGAACCTTCCCTTCCTCAGCAATCACATCAGGCCTTACTCTGGTTCTGGCTATTCCTCTGCAAAGGCCAGGATCCAGGCAGACCCCGGCTCCTACAGCTGCAGGCAGAGCTGAGGAATCCAGCCTCCTGACCCGGGAGCATGTTTTCATAAGGTACCACCTCTGCCTGTACCTGTGAGCTTCTCCAGTCCTTCCCACCACACGGGCAATGCAGACTGTAGGTCTCAGCAGCTACCTGACGGCAACCACCAGTCCCAAGCACCTGCTGCGTGTGCACAGGGATGGGGGGAGGGTGATTCCTGGCTGGGCGCACTTGGCATCTGGAAGCATCATGTGCAGAGGAGAGGGGAGAGGCAGAGTGAAGGAGCTGGAGAGATGCTGACGGGCGAACTGGGATCCATTCTGCGGCTCTGCCCCAGAGCTGCTGAGTTGGGATGGAATAGCTGGACCTTTTAGATGGGACACTGTGCAGAGACCAGGAGCGAGAGAACACCCAAGGCTGGGCCCAAAAGGGCCCAGTCACCCCTCCTGGCATAGCAGTCAAACTGAGGAAGCGCATAGGGAGATATGAGGGGCACACGCATGACATCTAGAGGGCTTCTGGTTCTCAGTCTGCCTTGTCGCTGTGTGACCTTGGGATAATCACTCCACCTGTCTGAGCCTTCTTGGCCTTGGCTGTTAAATTCAGGGCTTGGACGAGATCTCTCAAGGCTCTTCTGGTGGTGACATTCCTCCAGGGAATCTGGATCAGATGTGGCCTGCCCTGCGACTGCAGACAGTGGGACAGCCCTGGGGCAACAGAGAGACACCTAAGGACGTGCAGAGGGACTGACCACAGAGACCACGAAGCCAACTGTTGGTGAGCCCACCAAATGGTTTTATCGAAGTTACCATGGCAACATGCCAAGGCCTAGCTTCCAAATGGTTAGATTGTGGAAATGGCTCTCTGATGCCTCCTGGGCTGTGTCCCTGTGCCCCCCCCCCGGCCTTCCTCACAACGCGACCCACTCTGGAGGTCACTTGACAAACCAACCCCAGCCAACGTCTACAGACTGGATGGGACATAACATGGACTTCCTTTCAACAAGGGGCTCCTAAGGTTTATTTACGAAGCGCCTACAGTGAGCCCACCAGGCCACTGCATACACGGTCTCATCCAAATTCTCATGGCAACCCCGGCAAGTGTGTGCCTGTCCCCCTGGCTGGCTCACCGAGGGTCAACGGCTTGCCAAGAACGCCCGGCTGGTAAGTGATGCACATGGGACACGCCCCCAGTGCCTGGCTCCACGGGCACACTGTTCCCTGTCCCCTGCTGCTTCCATGGTATGGAAAATGTGGCCTGGCCACTCCCACCCCTCTCCGGGTCCAAGACCTCTGCAACCAGATATCAAAGAGGACTGCCTCTTGGGCCTGCATGGAGGCTCAGGAGGCAAAAGCAGGAGGCCTAGGAGGAGAAAAGATTTATGGGAAAGAATAATAAAAGTAACAACAAAAGTTAACCTTATTGATACGGGGAGGGGGAAGGGTAAGCTGGGACGAAGTGAGAGAGTGGCATGGACATATATACATTACCAAATATAAAACAGATAGCTAGTGGGAAGCAGCCGCATAGCACAGGGAGATCAGCTCGGTGCTTTGTGACCACCTAGAGGGGTGGGATAGGAAGGGTGGGAGGGAGACGCAAGAGGGAGGGGATATGGGAACATATGTATATGTATAGCTGATTCACTTTGTTATACAGCAGAAACTAACACACCGTTGTAAAGCAATTATACTCCAATAAAGATGTTAAAAAAAAAAAAAGTTAACCTTATTGAACTGTTTCTAAGTGCTTCATATATTATTAACTGATTTAATCTTCACAAGGTTCCTACAAGGCAGGTCCTGTTACTACACACAGTGAGAG